TTGGGAAGGACTGTTTGGATTTAAATTTCAAGGAGAGGGACATGTATCGGTCGAGGAGAGGGACTGTCCTCCTATTATGTTAAATAAATTCAATATTAAAATGATGCTATAAAATTTTATATTGAAATAACGGAAACAATTCCATTAAAATCAAAGTATCTAAAAGTGTATTTCACTTTATTATATAACTATAAAATTTGCAAGAAGCGTTTTCCTGGAATTGTCAAGTTAATTGTTTGAAAGTTGACTAAAAAAAAAATTATAAATATTTTATTTGCGAAAACGTTTTTCTACAACGATGAATTTAATATACAGAAGATATGAAGCTTAAATATTCTTCCTTCTGTAAATAATAATTTCCTAAAGTTACACGAAGTTGCGAGTTGCGTAATATGTAAGCGGTAGCGAGATGGCCCTAATAAATGTTTCATTTATTTCCAGGCGCTGCTTTGATGAAAATCGTCGAAGTGTACAAGGAGATCCAAGACCAGCAGATGAATATCGTGAGTACCAAAAACTTTTATATGCCCGTCTCGTAAATAATTAATTCGTATTAGCACCACCCCAAACTCTGAGAACCGGAAGCGCACTTTATTCAAAAGCGGAAGCTGAAAAGCAAAAATGAAAAAAAGAAAAAAAGCAGAAAAGAATAATGATAGTCCACCGACACTCGGCGTTTGGTGGTCCGCACATCCAACGAAATAACTCACGGCACTTTTGTGCACCTCGTCCTATTCCACCGGCTCCTTTTTTTATAAATCAACTTAATGTGTGTCATATAAATTAAACGTTGTACATCCAGAGTTTAATTTGGGGCTTTAGTCAAATAACGAAGCCGAGGGTTTTAACTCGTTACTGCTTCAGCTATGTTTTATTTATTTGACTAAGTGATTCGAATCGAAAAGCGTTGATTATATTAGCCTTTGATGTTTGGGTAAACAATGTAAATAACGTTGCCTCCGGTATCTCTCTTTCCTCTGTACATATAACCTTTTCGCAATTTACAGTTGAAAGCGTTCTACGTGGATCTCCTGGTGCCGCTTGAAACAAACCTCGAAAAGGATACAAAAGTTGTTCAGGTAAGCTCGGTGTTTGCAATGAAATAAACGTTTCAAAGCTAATAAACATGTATCTTCCATCTCGTGCATTCAGTCGGAGCAGAAGAGATTCCTGCAACAGCATAAACAACGAGCAGAGACGTATAGCAAGGCTGCGGCTATGATGAAGAAGCAGAGGAAGAAGTCGAGAAGCTCTACGAAAACTGGACTGGCTATGGACAAAGAACTGAAAGTATGTACATAAAGACGCAATACGAACCAACTACTTTCTATCGCCTACTATTAATATAATAATAATATATAAGTATTAGAATAAATACTTCAACTACATTCAAATATTAGACAATAAAATAATTCAGCAATTAGCAATAATTAAACATAGTGACATAATACTCACTACATTCATATTAACAATAAATTCACAATTAGAATTAACTGTAATATTATATTAATAATATTTAATACTTTCTTATTTGATGTAATTTTTATAAATTTATTTTATTTATAGAATATGCAAGTATTGGAGGAAGAGAAAACCAAGTTGGATGCTTTCTGCGAACAGAGTTTGAAAAATGTAAGTAGTTTTAGTGTTTTTTTTTATTATTTTTTTTATTCGACCTGTGGATATTTTATGATCCTATTTGTGGTATTGTGCAGGCAATGACTCAAGAACGCAGACGATACGGTTTTGTTCTGGAAAGGCACTGCTCTCTGGCCAAACACTATCTTTCATATCACACTCAAGGAGTAGCCGTATATCAACACAACCTGGAGAAATGGTCGGAAGTGGCAAAAACCCGTGAATTTCTACCCGAAACCGTTGAGAATATATTCAGCAATCGACTGAGGGTAAGTACATTCAAATGTTTTATTGTGTTCCCCTAATAACGTATTCCTTGTTGTTGTTTTTATTTTCGCTGTATAGCAAATTTCCGTTTGGCACGATGAGGATGTTTATTCGAGCCCCCGGAGCCCGCACTTCGACGACGACGGTATTAGCATCTCCTCGCAGTTGAGAAAAACAAAGAGCATGGATGCTTCCTGCTTGGATATCCGTTCGATCGGAGATGTGGGATCACCTGTGACCACTTTATCCAGAGCCAAATCCGAATACAATTTGAATTCATCCACTCATTCGCTGGAGCAAGGTAAAGCCTCTTGGTTTTGGATGATGAATAAGTAATGAGATTGATGTTGGATTTTTTTCTTTCTATTTGCTTTAAAGATGAGACACCGACGCGCCGTCCGAAATCGATGGCTGTACCTCCGGTGCCGCCGCCGCAATGGGACACGCAATTAGCGAGGGCCTTATATGCATATCTCTCCAGTGGCGAGAATCAGCTCAGTTTCCTTGAAGGGGATCTGATTGCGCTGATCGGGGAAAGAAATAAGGGATGGCAATTTGGGGAGAATTTGCGTACGCAGTGCAGCGGATGGTTCCCTTTGGCTTACACCGAAGTTCTGGACGATTCATCACTGTAAGTTTGCAATCAATAGCATTGGGGTTGTGAAGATGGTTTGGCTTATACGACAGCGTCTTCTCGCATTAGCGGACCGTTTATCAATCGTTTTGTTCCAGTTCCCCGACGCACGCGAGCAGTTCAGGAAGCGGAAACGCAAACATAGGTCAGCATCCGATGTCTCCAGGCGGTGGCGGCGGTTCGGGTTCATCCCCCGGTAATGTCAATGTCAATGAACCGCCCACCCCACGTATGTTTGGCGATACCCTTCATCTGCATAGATCATCCGCTAACGCTAAGCAGGTAGTTTTTATAGCTTGCAGCTTCTGAATTCCTTACGGATCCTCGGCGGCGGCGGCGTATTCTCTGCATCAGTTCAAATGACCAAACTGAAATGTCTTTAACGAATGTTTCAGATTCGACGTGCGATCGGTTCTAACAACATACCACCACCGGCACTGCCCGCACCTGTCCCAACCCCATCTCTGCCATATCACAAGACCGGAATGACCCAATCTCAAAGCACTAACTTCTCATCGAAAACTAATACGGAGGCAACGTTCCAATCCCCGTATTCCCAAACGGGCATTAAAAGCTCCGCTTCCAGTTTCAATTTCACTACCCCGTCGACGGGATCGTATTCCACCCATCCGCAACCGTCGCGATCCGACAGGCCCACGGCCGGAGCCCCATTGCCTCTCCACTTGCAGTCCAAGGGTAGCAAAATCGGGGGTCCCGTCGGTAATGTTTCGTTGCACAGCAGCAACGATTCGGGATTCAGCAACGATCCACCACCCCAACCGGAAATTGATTACTCGGACGATGATTCCATCCCAGGCCAGACCAAACTGCCGGCTCGGTATGTAACCCCATTTCACTTCTAATCTATTCAACCTTGAACCAACCACCCTCTTGTGTCTTATTACCTTTGCATCAATCAACCCGATACGCGGTTCGCACAGACCGAAACAGTTTATTGCTCTGTATTAATAAACGAACATCAACCAACATACTTTTTTCATTGCACTTCATAAATAATCCAATATAAAAGAGTTTCACTCAATAAAAAATTTCAATTCCGTTGATATTTTATACCAGGCAATTTTTTCCAATAAATAGAAATAGAAGTCCTTTATAGATTTGCTTCTTAGTTTTCTAAATAACTTATCTTTATACCCCATTATGAGTAATATATTGCCGTTTATATTAACTATATAGTTTGACATTAATATTCCTACAGTCGAATAAATATATTTAATAAATTAATATCAAATTTGTTAATAATTTAAAAATATATTCCGCATTTATATTTGTTATTTATATTTTTTGTAATAATGCATTATATAATATAATATATACTTTTATCTCAAATATGACTTTTAAATTGAACCCTTATTTAGAAATAGCAAACTGAATGCAAGTACATAAACTACTTTTTTTGTAGCAAAATAACTTAATTAATTAGTTTGACCTAATTTAATAAAAAGTTTTTTGGTATTATTATTTTTATAATCTTTTGCAAATATTACAAATTCAATTTGAAAAAATGCTACCACCAGAAAAAAAACATTACAACGTGTTATTGATCAAAACCTACGATTACAAAACCCCTATTATTATTTTTATAAAATTATTTTATGTAACAGAATTATGACAAATGATTATCGTCACCATTATATTATATTTGATAGTAGTAAATTATGTCTCTTATATTCGTTTAATAATACAAAGCAATAAATCAATTTCGTAAATGTAAATTCGTAATATCATTTTGTATGTTTTGAATTTTTGTTTTTTGTTTTTCGATTTTTCATTTATGTTTGTTTTTGTTTTGCTTTATTATTTTGCTTGAAATAGAAATAGTAAGCATCGTCGTGAGGTGAACAGTGATGACAATAACAATATGCGTAAAATGGCCCCAATCCGTCAGTCCACAAGTTCTGGCAATTTAATCGAAAAGAACTATTACATATCGGATGATCAGGATAATGTGCGGTACACGGGAGAAAGGAAGGGTCTTGTGAAGCGTACGAAATCGTTTTGGCGTTTCGGTAGGAACGGATCGGACAATGAAATATTGGAGGGCATGTCGCTGTGGAAGCATCGCGATTTAGTCGATGTGCCGGAGAAGAAGAAGTCTCTGAAGCATCCAATTGTGGAAAAGCCGAAGAAGCCTAGCAGGGATACTTCTAACGATTCCGAAAAGACGTTGTTAAATAACTACGAGGAGGAGAGATGTAGGAAACCGGTGGAGCCGGCACCCAGGCACAGACCGAGCTTTAGAGAAAAACCTCAAAAGATGACTATGCCCAAGGAAAACAAGAATAACAAGAATGATGATTATGAAAGTAGCTTTGAGAAGCGTAAGGATGATCAGTTTTATGATGACGGAGATGACGGACTTATGATGCGCACAGTGAATAGGAAGAACATTCTTCAGCAGTACACTAATGACTCCACTGGGCCCGATTCGGAGAGCGAATCGGAGATCACCAGTGATGACCCGTACGATTGTATAGTGGTTGATGATCAGAAGGTCCGCAAGAACGGAGAGCAGTTCCCGAATGTGGCTGCGATCGGCCGCAAGCTGGAGAAGTTATCGAAGAACACGAAATATTCTCCGAACAAAGAGCCCCCCGCGAGGAATTCGATCAACGAGAAGAATAACAACATAAATCTCAGGAACGAGCGGAATAAAATGGAAAAGAATTCCCAGCTGGAGAGCGAGGAGATTATACAATACCAGCCGCGCAGCAGCTTCAAGACGTTCGGCCACGAGATCCAGAACAATGAGAACGGGGAGAAGGAACCGAGGAATAGCGATCAAGACAGATACTACCCGCAGCCCCGAAAACGCACCGATCCCACCCCCAACAAAGACAAACGTCGTTATTACGTCGAGCAGAATAGTTTGAGTCACGAACGAAAGATGCGACCCAGCTATGATAGCATCGACTCCGAGATTGATCAAAGAGACAGCAGGAGCCATCGCCGCATGAACTCGGATGTCGAGAAGAAGGATAAGATGAAATACTACTCCATGCATCGGGAGAGTACGGCCGACGAGTACTCAGATGCAGCGACTGAAAACCGCCAGTTCCTTCCGAGGACTAAACTCACTAAAACCAACAGTAATAGCTCCAAGTATCAGGATCAGGATGGAAGCATGGCGGAATATGGTGAAACATTGCAGAGGCGTCTGAAGAGCAACGAATACGGCTCGAAAATGGACGAGAAGTCTCTCCATAATGGAAACATGTACGGACCATGGTACGACCTCTGGGGACTCGATGCATCGGTACGGAATTGAATTGATACCAGCTTCATTCATAAATGCCATCATCATTTCAGAAATATCAAATAAGAAAAGAAATTTTGAAAAAAAAACTGGTGAATGGGGACATTTTCGCTTACACTTCATTTTGTTTTAACAAATTATTATATTTTTTAATGCTTTGTTTAACACATGTTTGCGAGTTTAATTAATATTGTAATCCGAGACACACGAGATCACAAAAATTAATAAAATAATGCACAAACTACGTATAATTGTTTTTGTGCATAGGAGTTTACGAAATGTATTTAATTTGTATATTAATTAATCTCGCAAAGTTGCATTTTATAAAATATTTTCCTTCCGCTTTTGTGTTACTGATTTGCCAGACTGCAGTTTCGATGTTTCTCTTCTTTTCGTTACAGGATGACAAACAATTTCGCAACCATAAAGCTTCGGAAAAGTAGTAAGTCCGCCGACCGATCCACATCACTAATTATCGAATAGGATTAGTAACACAAACCCCCATCCCCCTTAGATTTGATAAGTTAATATTATAAGAGAGGATAAACGAACATATATTTACCATAAAACCTAGTCTTATGTCATAAAACTGGTACTTGGTAACGTAATAGGAGCATAGCAAATTACATGTAAAATATATTTTATAATATATACATAAATTTAGAGAAGAAATGTCTTTTATCGATATGCATATAACGGCGACAAGGAAGTCGACGAAGCTCAAAACTTAATGTCTTGCTAAATCAAATGCACCCATAAATGAGGCCATTGCACTCGACACATCCAGTAACTACTATGACTTAATATTCCATCCCGTTGCGTAACGTAGTATGAAATTTTCAGTTTTTTTAAGCCCAATATTGTAAAACCGTTTCGAGTTTCAACTAGACACAAAGTGTTCTTTCACGCAGATAGACATAGATTATGTTTAACAAAAAAAAATCAAATATAATACCTAATATTAACGTGTATTAAAATAATTGATGTAATATAATAACAATTACATCTGTTTGTGTCTTTATTGTTAACTTATTTTAATATCTTTACATTATATTTGTTACTAACAATATTTTATTTATTTTATTATTATATGCAGCCAATTCCTAGAAATAGAATTTGATTAAACATTAAATTATTTTTGTGATAAAATTAGAAAAAAAATCGTATTTTCAAAATAAACCACTCATGTTGATTTGCGTATATTCCAATTCGTCCTTTCTATTGCATTAATGCTTGCGGTAATTTATTCATTGTTTGATGTAAATTACTAATTAGTAAATAAACAATATTGCGTGAATAGACCGATCATTAGTGTTTTGCGCGAAACTCGGTAATAATAATGTACAACAATAAATAAATGCATATACTAAATACATAATGTTAATTAGTGTAAAGTACAGAATACTAAAATCAAGTTGTTAATATCGCTTGATATGATCTAATTAATAATTAAAATGTGTACAAAATTTTGACTATGATTTATATTACTAATCAAATTTTTCTATTAAAAATTTGCCTTTCAGTTTTCGTAAGCAATTTTGATTAGAAATTCTTTAAATTTCGCTTTTTCACTATTGAAAAATTTAGCGGTAAATTCTAAACTTTTCTTGCTACAATGCTAAACAACAAATGTACATGATTTGAGATAAAAATGTTTGTCAGTTGTACCAAAAACTATTACTTATGATGGAAGCTAATGACAATTAGTGAATTGGTAGTTGCAAACTGATATTTATGTTTCATTTCACGAATTGCATTGATACAGCTTAATTAATTTTGAAATATTATACCATGAATTGGTGAATTGGATCAAAATTATTCAATTAATGTTTGATATCAAAGATGAAAATAATTTTACGAAATAAATTGTGAATATATTTCTAAGAATTAGCTGCATTTATGATACTGTACTTTTTTTATATTATGTATCGCATACAGTTTTATTTTATTCTTTGTATCTGTTGTATGTTGCATATTTAAATATCTATTGCTGTGGATGTATATGAATGCGTGAGTGTAAATATTTCTTGGTGGTTGGGATGGTGCAATACACATTTATCACTACTGAACAAACTTACTATTGTATTTGCCTACTGAATAACTAAATTGCGAGTATATTTTGTTGTTCGATAATAAATTTATCGGAGGCGGCGGCGTTGATTCCCCCGAAAATACGTCGACCATCGGAATCGAATTTATTCCCGGTTAAATTCAAATCGATCCCAAAATTGGCAGGACACAAATCCATCTCTTTCTGACTTTCCGATCCCTCGACATCCTCCCCCAAAAATATCTCCCATCCTTCCATCCCCTCTCCCAATAGAATCACTGCCAATTACTACATAAACTAATTAATTCCTTCCCCCAAGCGAGTGCCAAATTTATATATATTTCGATTAATTAGGCCTACTTTCATTTTATTTCATTGGTTCTAGTTTCTTTGTTTTATTTCCCAACTCCGTTTTTTGTTTGTTTTATTTTGTATTAAAATTTGAACAGAAACGAATTTTTGCTAAACGCGTGTGGCTAATTATGGAAAGACTGTGATATATTAGATAAAAAAAATGAAAACATTGATGAAGAAGAAAAAAAAAATAATACGAAAAAATGCATTGGAATAAACGATTTTAAAGAAAGCAACTATATTAGTAAGTTTGGTTTCCTAACGATTTTCCCCCCATGATTTATTTCTTATTATTAGTATTATTATTCATTTTATACGAGAACTAACATGAAAAAATATATTTTTTTGTATATAATAAATACATTACGATTATCTTTGTAAATAACATTTGTATTATATAATTAGGTTTTAGGAACCACATGATATATTATAGTCAATAATTAGTAGTATCGGTTTTTAAACGTATGTGTATACAAGTATCTTTTTTTGTTACGTTTTTTTTTGGTAGTGACCGTCCATGTTTACTTACCTATAGCCCCCCTTGACTATATATTATTTTGTATATACGTAACATACAATCCGCCATACATCATTGATTATAATATTAACAATAAAAAGTATATTCTTACCACAGATATAAATTTAACAAAGAAAATATTAAAAAAAAACGAAATAGTTTGAAGAACAAAAATAACTAAGCTATGGTTATAGGGTAGCATGTTTCCGAGTATTTATATGGCATATTATATGTAAATGTAAGTTATTGTTGTCTAAACTAAATATACATAAAGAATAAATGAAAAAATAAACAATATAAATATGATATAAATAAATACAGTATGAAAAAACACATATTATATAAACGGCTAACAAGATAAGATGGAAGAACATTCTCTTATTAGATTAAATTATTGTTATATCAGTTTATAAATAGTGTATATTATTTTAATAAAATTTATATTGTTATATTACAGATAAACTAAATCGTTTTTATTTTTATTTCACCTATTTTCAGATATTTGCAGCAGGTAAGTAGTAATTAATGTTTATATTTCTGAAAATCAGTTACATAATGAAATAAAACAGAAGTTTTGTAAATTTTATCAAAGACATTACTGAAAATTGAAAAGCAAAATAAATTTGCTCTATATACGTAATAAAGAAATACAGGAGTTTTATAATTTAATAAATACTTGAAATGTACATTTAAAGTTTGTTGTATGTACAATATATAAATTGCAGAAAGGTCTCTTTAATTCTTAAATAGTATTTCAGCAGAAGTTTACAAATACAATCAAAGCTTACCTTACATACCATTTAACATGGGTTCGAGAATACGTACATATCGGACTGAAGTAATAGCAAATATTTGTACAAACGTACAGTTATTTCAGTCGGCAGATGGAACATTTATGTTGTTTATTTGGCTTCTTTTTATATCAGATGAATTTTTATAACTCATTTTATAAATAATATTATATGGACAATTAAAGACAATTAAAATTTAGTTTGTTTTGAAATTAAACCACAGTAAATCCGGACTAATCGAAGCCGGACTATGCGAGCATTTTCTCGTAATCTTTGAATTATCAGTTAAAATTGAGCAAGCATCGGTTATTCTATTGTTAAAACTAAAACATTAGTGATTACTTACAAATTTGTAAACAGTTGACATTTTCAAACACATTGCACGTTCTCACCTACAAATTGTATTATCCACGCCATTAAAATACAAATATAGTGCAATTGTTAGAAGCGGTTATAGGTTACAGCAATTACAACTAAAAGCACGAGTTCTCTTAACCTTAAGCCCTTTTATGCTATTATTAATAAAAAATGTATCATTGTTAGAATTCACTGTCGTTATGATAACGTACATTATCATAACGTACCAAAATTTGTATACGCGTGTTCCAATATTCCAATACAAAAGCAGGACAATAGCATTTTGTCCCAAAATATGGCTAATAAATATGTTTAAATACATATATTAATGTATATATTGTGTAAGTACAAAATATTTAGAATGATAAACAAAAATATAAGTGTTGAAATTATGGAAGCGTTGAGCGGAATTATATGAGTATTTAAAGCGGAAAATGAGAAGAACTTTGTCGAGTGGAGTCTCAACTATTTGAATAGAAATCTTTTAAGGTAAGTAAGTAACTGCATCATTAAAATACCCATGGAATATGTTCGCAGTGAAGCGGCTTGTGAGCAATCCCAACATTTGCGAGTTCTGAGCGAGGGCTCTCTTTAGGAACGAAAAAAAGGAAAACTTTTTTTTCCAAGCCGTTGAATTTTTAATATTTCGCGTCGAGTTCGAAGGGGGGAGGACGAAGGGCTCTGACTAGCTCTGGTTACGGGACCAGTGGGAGGCTTCGCAGTTTCCTGCACAGCTAATTTACTGTGGTTGGCGGCAGTGATTTATGGGCCCTCAAGGAAAACTACTTTTTTCTTCTTTCTTTCTCTTTTTTCTTTGGATAAGCCTCTTCTGTCCTATTCTTACAAGACCCTGTGCCGATCCCGATACAAAGCTGTCGATAATACATATTTCCATTCAATTTAATATTTGAATATTCTCTCATCGATTTCTATGTAAACTCCAAATTAAAGCATAATATTATTGTAGTATTTTACTGAATACATTTAAAAGAATATATTGGAATCTAATTATACTAATCAGTTTTAATTATAAACAATATATAAGCAACTCTAGGCTGGAGCTGCCCTCCCCCCCCACTTCTAATAAATCCATTTTCCAAAGAGATAATTTTATTTGAAACTGGTTTACTAATTATAATATTGTTTTTATTGGTTTCACCAACTATTACGAAAATAAGTTAGTAAATATGATCATTATAACGCCAGCTTCTATACAGTTGCAATATGCAACTTACGGAACAAATATTAATTTCAACAAGTAAAAAAATTCATCATGTTTTAAGTACTAAATACAAGTATTCCGAATAAAACAGTAGTAATCTTATGTAGGAATAATATTCAAAGTATATTTGAGGGTTACATTCAAAAACCTAGCAAAAAATGATACATATATTCTGATCTGGTTGTCTAATGCAGTTTTATCGGGAAGTTTCGACGAATTTGTGTGATGTAATATTTTAAGCGTGCTGTAAAGATACCATGTTATATGGGGATAAAGGTATTCTTTATACTCACAAACAAATAATGCATGTTAATGTTAATTCCTTTCTCTTCATAAAAATAACTGTAGCGATGCGAGGAAACATCAATCCTCAAAGAAAGGAACGTATAGAAATGGATCGTTTATGTTTGCATGCAGATTGTGCATTAGACAAACATAATCCGCCCAACAGATAAAAGGCGATTTCTCTGTCAGAGGGTTTCTTTCTTCCGCATTTATAAAACGTCCGCGATGTAATTCAAGTTAAATACAATACAACGGGCCGCAATCAATCTGACGAATTTCACCCTCTTTTCCTTCTTTCACACACATAGAACGTTTTTTTGCAAAAAGCAGATAAAATGAAAAGTGTAAAAGAAAATTGGCCGAGTCGGCGGCCATAAA